TATATATATATATATATATAATATATATATATATATATATCCCTTTTTTATGTATATAAACAAAAGAGAAGAAAAGTGTTTATGCCTTGTTATTAATAAACAAGACAAGAAGAGTGTATATATATAGAAAAAGGAGACAGTTAACTGTCTCCTTTTTATTTATTTATTTTATTTATGTTATTTAATTAATTTATTTAATTAATTTATTTATTTATTGTGTGTATGTATATACATGTATATGTATATGTAATAATATCCTTCCTCCTCCTTCTCTCCCTTTGCTGCTGTTGCTGTTGCTGTTGCTGCTGTTGCTGCTGCTGCTGTTGCTGCTGCTGCTGTTGCTGCTGCTTGGATATCTGTATCTCCTCCTCTTAATTAAAAAAGACAGACATATATACAAATACATCTCTCTGCAGCTAATTGTCTCCTCCTGTCTCCTCCTGTCTCCTCCTGTCTCCTCCTGTCTCTTCCTTTCTTCTTCTGTCTCTTCCTTTCTCCCTCTGTCTCCTTTTATGAATAATATACAAGACAATATATATATATAAATATATACAGCAACAAACAAACAAACAAACAAACAAACAAACAAACAAACAAACAATAAATAAATAAATAAATAAATAAATAAATAAATAAATAAATAAAATAAATAAATTATATAGGTAATTTTTGGTCTCTATCTGGTAGATCTTCGAAGTCTGCAAGATAATCTTTTCTTCTTATTCTTCCCCCAGGAGGAGGAGACCTAAGTTGTTGTATTTGTTGTTGATGAGTAAGAGTAGCAATAGGTGCAGCAGCAGCATTAGCAGCAGCAGCAGCACCAGCATTAGCAGCATTAGCAGCAGCAGCAGCAGCATTAGGAGTAGATAGTCCTCCTCCTTCCCATTCAACAATTAATTGTTGTTGCTCATCCTCATCCTCATCATCACCAAAACAATCCGGAGGTACATAAGCAAATTGTACACCAGGTGCATGCTGTAGATACTGTAGATTATCTAGTATTCTTGTCTTAATTTTATATAAATGTTCTTGTGTATTAAGATTAATAATATTATTATTAGGTATTAAATGTAATAAGAAATCAGGTGCATAATAATCATAATAATCATTAAGAGGAATATAGTTACTTATTTCCTTATGCTTATCTAATACTACTGCTGTCTCGTATGCCCAACACCTAGATACATTTCTTATTGTATACCCTCCTCCTCCTAGTATTAATAATGGTATATTAAATGATTTAACGAATTGTATACAGGATGCATGCCCCTTAATAGATAAATTAAATTTACCTAATCTGTCTCCTGTTAGCGAATCAGCACCACACTGTAGTACTATTGCTCCTGGTCTATATACCTCTATACATTTAGTTATTATAGGCCTAAATAAATTAATAAAATTATCATCATCTATACCATCATTTAATGGTACATTTATACAATAATATTTACCTTTACTAGCACCTATATCTGTTATGTCTCCTGTACCAGGAAAAAAATCACCAAACTTATGAAAGGAGACAGTCATAACACGATGAGATACATAGAATGCTTCCTCTACACCATCACCATGATGTACATCTATATCTATATACATTACTCTTGCATAATATTTTAATAACTCTAGTATACCTAATACTATATCATTTATATAACAAAAACCTGATGCCTCTGATCTTTTTGCATGATGTAATCCTCCGCTCCAATTCACACATATGTCTGCTTGTTGATAATTTAATTTCTTTGCTGCATCTATTGATGCACCTATTTACATCACATACATATTTATTTATTTATTTATTTATTTATTTATTTATTTATTTATTTATATTTATTTTATTATTCTCTATTATATAAATGGTTATATGCATACTTTATTCATTATATTTATTTATTTATTTATAACTTCATACACCCTAATAAACCCTCATAAAACCCTCATAAAACCCTAATAAAACCCTCATAAAACCCTCATAAACCCTAATATAAACCCTAATATAAACCCTAATATAAACCCTAATATAAACCCTAATATAAACCCTAATATAAACCCTTACCAGCACAAGCTTGTTGGAAAGTAAATAGACCATCAAATACAGGACAATCAGTAGCCTCGCCAACATTAAAACTTTTTAATTGTAAGGCAAAATCTTTATAATTATCAGGAGATACAGCAGATAAAAAATTTATATATTCTTGTGAATGAAATAAACATAGCTCTGGCTCTATTGATTTATGGGGACGATATACTTCCTGCATAAATAAATATATTTATTTATTTATTTATTTATTTATTTATTCTATTTATTTATTCTATTTATTTTATTTATTTATTTATATATACTTTTTTTGTGACAAAAAATTATTATTTATATACTTATATACCACAAACCCTAAACCCTAAACCCTAAACACTAAATATTTATTCATTAGGGTTATCTATCTATTCTGTCTCTTCTTATTTATCTGTCTCTTCTTTCTCCTTTTATTTGTCTCCTTTTATCTATTTCTGTTTACTATAACTATATGTAAGAGACAGATAAAAGGAGACACAAATAATACTACTAACTCTAAACCCTAAACCCTAAACCCTAAACCCTAAACCCTAGAAATCTATAATGCAGTGTATATATATACAAAACCACAAAAGAAAAAGAAACAAATATGTACATACAGGAAACAATAAACCCTAATAAACCCTAGTAAACCCTCGTAAACCCTAATAAACCCTATTCAGCCATCATAAACCCTCATCACTCCCAGTAAACCCTCATAAACCCTCCTAAACCCTAATCCCTCCTCCTAAACCCTCGTAAACCCTCGTAAACCCTAATCTTACCATATGTTTATATAGATCATAAGAAAGGACAAGCGCATGCGCCATGCGTATCCTTTGGGGCTTCATAGGATGACCAGGACCATAGTAAAAAGATCCTATATCTGGGTCATAAAAGTATGCAACCCTTTTCCTTACTCCTACAAGAGACATTTTTATAAGGGTTTAGGGTTTATCTAGGGTTTATAAGGGTTTAGGGTTTAGGGTTTAGGGTTTAGCTAGGGTTTATAAGGGTTTGGCAGGAAAAAAAGAATAGAAGGAAGGAAAGAAGAAGAAATAATAATATTTATTTATTATGTTAAAAAAAATATTTATTAGAAAAATATACTCCTGTTGTTGCTGCTGCTGTTGCTGTTGCTGCTGCTGCTGCTGTTGCTGTTGCTGCTGCTGCTGCTGTTGCTGTTGGTGTTAAGGAGGGCGCGACGACGATCCTCTTAACCAAAGACAAAGGAGGCAGCAGCAGCAAAGGGAGAAGAACAACTTGTATATATTTAGCACTAAATACAATAAGTATGCAATTGCTGCTGCAGCTGCTGCTACTGTTGCTGCTGCTGCTGCTGTTGTTGTAGTTGTGTTGTTGCTGTTGTTGTGCTGCTGCTGCGGCGGCGGCGATAAAGAGGAGGCTCTGCCACTCGTCCGCAGCAGCAGCAGCAGCAGCACCAAAAACTGCTGCTGTTGCTGTTGCTGCTGCTGCTGCTGAGATCGCTTCTGCTGCTGCAGAAGCGAAGCAACCGCCTCTCTGTAAGGAGAGGAAGCAGCAGCAGCAGCAGCAGCAAAGTTCTTATAAGAGGGGGGTTTGCTGCAGTAAGGAGACAGTTAATAACAACTATTAAGACCTGTCTCCAACAATAAAAGGAATTAAATACACTTAATTAAAGGGAGAAATCAAAAAAGAAGGGAATGATGAACAAGAAGTAGCAGCAGCGGCTGCTGCTGCTGCTGCTACCCAGCAGCAGCTGCAGCAGCAGCAACAACAGGGCCCCAGAGGCAGCAAATATACCCTATAGGACCTCTATCGATGTATTTTTCTCTATTTTTTATTAATATTTTATATTATTTATTATTTATTTAATTTATTTTATTCATTTTATGCAAAATAACCACCATTTATACCCGTTTCCTCCTTCCTTGTACCTCCCCCCGTCAGGTGTACGTACACCTCTCAAGCCATCGGCAGCACTAACCTAGTTAGTTTGTTGCATCTCTCCTCTTTATTGCCAATTATTTAATTCTTTTTATTTATTTTTTAATTTATTTTATTTATATTATGTCATATATGTTAAACTTTAACTCTAAACCCTAAACCCTAAACCCTAAACCCTAATTTTATA